CTGCGGTATGGCACCATCATGAGTTGGACACTGTGTGCACTGCTAGCCATAGGTGTGTGGACAATCGGTGTATTCAGCGCATCAGTGCAAACTGGCCTCATTGCACAGCTGAACTTCTGTGACTCCAACCACATACAGCATTTTTTGTGTGAACTCCCCTCGCTCCTGTTGCTGTCTTGTAGCCCCACAATCCTAAATGATATCATGATTATCCTTGGTGATATCTACTTTGGTGTGTTCAACTTCTTGGTCACCATGGTTTCCTATGGCTGCATTGTGGCCAGCATCCTCCGCATCCGCTCAGCTTCTGGCAAGCGCCGAGCCTTCTCTACCTGCTCTTCCCACCTCATGGTGGTCACCTTGTACTATTCCACTCTCATCTATACTTACTTCCTCCCGGGCTCTGGTGCCTCCATGGAGTATTACAAGGTTGTGGCTGCATTGTACACAACTGTCAGTCCTGCCCTGAACCCACTCATCTACACTCTGAGAAACAAGGATGTGAAAGCAGCCCTCCAGAAAGTGACCCCTGCCTCCTGGTGGAGAAAGAGAGTGGCCACATGAATCATTCTAGTGCCATTCTGTTAATTTCAAAAATATGACTTTTTAAATAAAAAGCCAGAGGCAAAGAGCAAGATGGTAACTAATGGGATGGATTTGCAAAAGGGGAGCATTACTGACGTTAGCTACCCAGTGTTTACCTGGACCATTCCTCACTCCTGATTCCTTTGACGTGACCCAGGCCACTGTGAGTGAGGGCAATTGGCATCCAGCAGTAAGGCTTCATGTAGACTGTGTCACTATCACTTTTTCAGGGTGGAGATCGGGTTTGGCCTTGAGGACCCTGAGCACATTACTTTTTGTGCTCCTATGTTGAGACTTCAAGACACACACTTTTGAAGACTTCGCCAAGAACTAGGTTTTTGACCTAGTTTTATTTGTGTGGGTTAGGATATCCAGGAGTGGTTGCTCCTCAGCATACAGTCTATGGCATGGCAGAGAAGTAAAAACATGTGTAGCCCATTCTCCTCTAGTAAGACCTGCAGAAAAAAGGCATAGTTCTATTGTTTCCTTCTACCAAAGGTATCATCATTCTTCAAATTAAAGTGCTACTTTAGCAGGAAAGAGCTGTCTTTTGTCTTTAGTTTTATAAAATTATTGAACATTGTATGTTTTCAGTTCTTCCTCAGTTTCCTTTCCACTATGATAACAGATCATATGCTGTGTTTTACTTCTGAATGTTGATATTCTTCCTTTTCTCAGCCCATCTCTCTTCTTTATGTTAGTAATTTTATCTGTTCCCTGGCTGCACTTACTATCAACTTTGACAATGATGTGCAAATTTATAGCTATAGTCCTACCGTAACCCTGGACCATTCATAAAACTGCCCAGCTTGCACTGTTGTTGTTGTGTGTGTTTAAATTGGTCCCAACTCATAGAGACCTGTTATAGGTTTTCTGAAGAGTAGGCAAAGGTGCGCTTGATGTGTCAATATTGAGGTTAACAGTTTAATACTTTCCTACAACATCACAATAAGATCTTAGATTTATTTTGCAGTCCAGACCTTACGGTGGACCCATTGATTTATCTGGCCAAGAAGGTATAGTAGATTTTTTGAAATCTTTCAGGGATCTCATGAATCCAGTCTAGGAACATTACCCTCAGTTTCCTGGACACCATCTAGTTGCAAGAGTTAATTATTGAATGATTCTTGATACTCTTTCTTAGGTTCTCTATCCAGACCATATCCAAATCCAATGATTTAACTTGAATATCATCACATCCATTACTTCTTTCATTTTCAACACTTACACGTGGTGCCATAGATTCCTCTTGGGTGACACAACATCTTTTAACTGGTTTACTTCTATGTATTCCTAATCCTGACTACCTACATTGGTTCAGCCTTGTGTCCAGAACTATAACTTTAACAGTTTATTAGGCAAGATTTATAAACAACTGAATACTGCATTGCACATAATAAGTTGAAAAAATTTGCAGTGACACATATTTACCCATTATCTACTTTGTTCTGTTAATTTGATAGTGCATTTATGATTAATTTTTTCATCCATCTACCCATCTTATTTTTATGCATTTCAAAGCAATTTTCAAAGACCAGTACACTTCATAAATACTTCAGTATGCCTATCATTTATTAGAGTTCATCATTTTTTAATAATTTTTTTTTCCTTTTGACATAATATTTTTAAAGAAGGCATACATAAATTGAGGTGTACAATTGCTGGGTTTTGACAAATACATGCAGCTCTAACCCAAACCTCTATCAAGATACATCACATGACCATCATCCCATAAATTTCCAGCACAACAGCAAACTGATACCTCATCTCTCAATGACATCACTAGTATTTCCTATAAATGTAATTAGTATAAGTATGCATTCATGTGTGTCTGACTTCTCTTCCTTCCCTTTACATGATATTCTTGAGATTCACTCATGTTGCATGTATCAGTTGTTTATCAATTTTTATCTTTGATTGATATTATATTAGTCAAAACCACAATACTACATTTTATTTATTTGTCTATGAACATTTATACTGTTTGTAACTTTTGACTATTATTAATAAAGCTTTTCTAAACATTTGTGTCCACCATTTGTTTTTGCATTTGTCTTACTAGCATGTTGCCGTGATTCTGAAAGATATGCCACCAGTATATTTGCTCTTGAACACTTTAAAGAGGTCTTTTGCAGCAGATTTGCCTAATGTAACATGTCGTTTGATTTCTTGACTGGTGCTTCCTTGTTTGTTGATTGTAGATACAAGTGCAATGACATATTTGATAACTTCAATTTTTTTCTCCATTTATAATGATGATATTCATTGGTCCAGTTGTTAGAATTTTTTTCTTCTTTACATTGAGGTGCAATCCATATTTAACGTTGTGGTCTTTGATCTTCATCAATAAGTATTTTAAGTCCTTTTCACTTTCAACAAGCAAAGTTTTATCATCTATATATCACGGTTGTTAATGAGTCTTCCTTCAATTCAGATACCACTTTTTCTTCATTTAATCCACTTTTTGTTCAGCATACAGAGCTAATACGTATGGTGAAATAATATAATGTTGGCATGCATTTTTTCCTGATTTTGATGCCTTCAATATCCCTTGTTGTTTTTGAATGACTGCCTAGGTTCCTCACCAGCACAACTAAGTGTTCTGGAATACCCATTCTTTGCAATATTTTCCATAGCTTGTCAAAATCCAAATAGTCAAAGCCTTTGCATAGTCAATAAAGTGAAAGCAAAGGTGTTTCTGATATGCTCTGCTTTCAGGGTCCTCTGACATTGCTGGTGGAACCATAAAATGGTCCATCCGACATCATCAATGTTATCACTCATATCATGTCCTCTTCTGAATCTGGCTTGAATTTCTGTCAGTTTCCTTTTAATCTGCTGCTGTAGTCATTCTTGAATTATCTTCAGCAATATTTTCTTTGCATGTGGTATTAATGATATTCTTAAAACTGTTCTATGCTTTGCTGGTCTCCTCTTTATGGTATGGGACACATATAGGCCTCTTCAAATTCGTTGGCCACGTAGCTCTCTTTTGAATTTAATTGCACAGATTCCAGTGCTGCATCTGTATTTTGTTGGAATATTTCAGTTTGTATTGTCAGTTCCTCGGTCCTCATTTTTCACCAATGCCTTCAGCGCAGTTTGGACTTCTTCCTTTGGTACCTCTATTCTTCATCATTTGCTTTTTTCCCCTCTCTATCCCATGTGTCTGTTCAGCCCAGTCTCATAGTAAGAACCAGTCTAGGGCTGGCCAGGATTGACTTTGGAGATTTAGATCAAAGTCTGCCTAAGTGGGGTTATTGTATATAGTTCCTTCCTTAGTCTACAACCTCCCTTGACCTACAGTCTGCAAGTGGCTCCCACCATCTGTACAGCATGAGAATCCCTCATGTTTACCTTGGTTAGAAAAGCAAGGAATACACAAACAAAAAATAAATTATACCTTTGTTGCCACAGACTCAGGTAGGTTTCAGCAACATGAATGTGGTCTCTCATCTCTAAAACCATTCATGAAATTTCAAGATCTCAATTTGAATTAGATGTTTTTCTAACATCTTCAGTCAACTTGGACTTCATCATTTATTGCTATTTGTTCTTGATCATATGCTACTTCTTGAAATAGTTGAACATTGCATTGTTTCTCTGTTTTTGGTACAGTGATTTTGTGTATTCCTTCCATCTTTGCCTATTAACAATTGGCTAAATTCACTCAGTATTTCACTCAGTATGATGTTCTCCAGAGTCTTGATGTGGTGCTGTTGGTTAATGTGCTGGACTGCAAAGTCATTTGAACCTCATGGCAATTAAAACTCACTAGCCACTTCTCAGAAATCCTATACTGGGTCACCACATATAGGCTGTCTCCATCTTTTTTGTTGTGAATAGTGATGTGACAAATATGAGTGTGCACATATCCACTCATGTCATGGTTCTTGCTTCTTGAGAGAATATATCAAATAGACAGATTGCTGGACCATAAGGCACTGCTATTTCCAACCTTTTCAGGAATGTCTGTCCTGTTTTCCACAGTGGCTGCACCATTTTATGGTCCCAGCAGCAATGTCAGAGTGCCCTAGTCTTTCCACATCCATGCTAGCATTTGCTGCTTTCTGGTTTTTTGTTTTGTTTGTTTGTTGTTGATGTTTATTTGTTAAATTGGCTATTAATTCTGAAGTTAGATGATATCTCATTGTTATTTTGGTTGTAGAAGGCTTTTCCCTTCTGGGCCTGAACCTGTGAAATTACTGAGCCTGCCAGTGAAACAAACAAACACACACAAAAGCAAAAACTTAACTTCCTAAGCAAGATGGGAGGGAAAAAGGATTCTGTGGGGATAATCCCAGGGTGGATATTGGACTCCAAGCATGGCCCAATGACACAATTGCTAGAGACATGGGGAAGAGTGTGTGAGTTCAGGGACGTACCAAAAATGCTGCAAGGATTGCTAGGACTCCTACAGGGAGTTGTGGTCTGCGAGGCTCAGACAAACACTAGGGGATAGTTGTGCTGGTAACTTGGTATCTCATATGTACTGTGTAAGCAACCACTGAACTTGGAGGCTGAAGGTTGAAAGATGCATTTGGAGATAGAGACATGGGTAGCGCAGGACAGCACCACTGAGGCTATGGCCACTCACTTCCAAACATCCGATTGTGCCATGGATAGCCGGCTTCTTGCCCAGGGAATGTGAAGGGGAGCTCCTGCCCAGTCAGTGGGTACATCCCCGCCTGTTATCTGGAAAGCAGATTGGGAGTCTAAGGATTGGTGAGAGGAAATAGAAGTTCCCCACCTAGATGCATGGCCAGTTCTCATTTTCAAGGGTAAACTAGACCAGCCCCATCCACCTGGTGAGGATCACACTCATGTGCTGGCCCCTGAGCAGTGGCAGAACCTCACCATGTGGAGCCATACTGCTGCTGAGCGGGAGGAGTTAGATCGGATGATGGTGAGGGACTGTTACTTGTCTCCTACACCTGCAGAATATGGGGGTGGTTGGCATTGTTCTGATTGGCCTAAAA